CTCCTGAGAAATCAAGATTTTGCCTGCCGGCAATAAAAAATAGCCTATAGTCAAAGCTACCAGAGGCATTCCTCACAAAACAAACTACACTTTTACCTAAGGTTCTGTATTTCGCATCAGTATGACGCCGAACTTCCAGTCCTTCTGAGAAGTACCCACGTTTATACACGTCTGTCATTTGAATCTAAATATTTTAGAAGTGGTACTGAGGGTCAATTACAGAGATTAAAATAAACAAAAAAAATCAGACCGCGCTCCTGATTACTCGGGTCCAAGTAGTAAAATTGTGGAGCGGGAGGAGGAATCATTGACGGGGCAGCAGTAGGTTCTGGACCGGCACCAACAACCGGATGCTGTGACGGACATAGAGGGATGATATCCAGCTGGTTCACTTTGCTGCCGCACAGATAGGTAACTTCGTGAACTATCGGCTTCAACATTTGGAACCTTCACGTCTGCTGATGGTGGGTTGGGATCTCGAGGTGCAGAGCTTTTCTCAGTGCTCTGGTTCTCATTGTTCGTTTGTCTTTCATGCCTGAATTAGATTTTTTCTAACATTTTGAATTTTCCGGCGAATCCACAGCAAACTAAGCGAATCAAATGCTAGCGGGAAATTTAATCATGAAACCAACTTGTTCTCAGTGACTTCAGCGGCTTTTCTTACTCGTGGTGACTCAGCGGAAGCATGGTGCTGAAAATTTAATTCGTAGCAATCATGTCATGAACGACTACGGTTTATTCAGCCTTATACACCTATAATGCTGTATCAGGTGCTAATCCAATATAGATGGTCTTGTTCACTTCAACTGTCGGGATGTGTTAGAGAGGGGGGGGGGCTGGATTAGCGCCGCGTCAGCTCGTTTTCCCCGATATTGCAGCTTAATCACTCCAACATCGGTGCAAAATGGGCGTCAAAGCCAGTCCTCTGACACCCCAGCATCCGCAGCGAAAAAGACTGGGAACATTTTGGCGCAACAGTTTGTCAGATTACGGTACTGTCTGATTTGTTTTCCGGCATAAGATGGGCCCCGAAACGTTCCCTGCCCTCCCGCTGAGGAAGAGATTTTTCTGATTGTTCACAAGAAAAGTGTTTCAAACGGATCTATAGACAGACCCCTTAACTCGCCGACTCGTATTTTTCATTCCTTGCCCAAGTGGTCCGGTCCGCTATCAGAGACTCTTCCATTTTTGTGACTTCACAGCGAGCAATGAAGGAGCTGCGGGCATTAGGTACGCCACCTCTAGCGTGTCCTCCCACTATCAATAGCCACATTACACTTAACGTCGTAATAGGCAGTTGTTGCTCGGTGGTACGGCCGGCAAAAGCGCTGCTTCCACAGTTACACTGGTGCAATAGTTCGTCGGATTACTGCAATTGCAACTTGCCAACTTGCTCACTAAGTAACAACTTGTTTTCTGTTAGGAGCTTGGTTTCTATGCTTTTTGAAACTATTACATGGCATTTAGTACTGATTGATGCTAAAAAAAGATCCGTGAGCCATGTGATGCACAAAGTTCGCAGGGTGTGCTATATATGCTAAATCCCCCCCTCTCCTATCCGCTGTAAGGCAAAATCTCGGAAAAATGATAGGAAGTTGCTGAAACCTAGCAAAATGGTATATAACGTGGCAAAGGGGAGGAAGTCGAGTTCCAGAATTATTGCTCAGCATTAGGAACTACCCTGACCAGACTATCCACTGGAAATTAAGACAATGTATGAAATGTATGAATGACAAAATTTGCTGAAGATTTTCGAGGATCTAAGGTCCCTTAACGAACTTCTAACAGCTCGGGCAGCTTCATTCATGAAAGCAGAAATAAACCGGAAAACACATACCATGTTATTCTGCTTCGAACAAACCTTCTTCCGGAAGCGTCCATGCTCATCAAACGAACCCGTTGCACTCGTTACTTCATCACCGGATTCCCTGAAACGCCAACAACATTATAAGAAGCTATTCACTGAAAAGTTTGTTCTAAACCAGTTTCAGTTCACTTACAGTGTTGAGCACCGACGTGAGGGCAACAATCTCGCCTCCAAAATACCAAGAAAACTAACTCTTTATCTTGATCTTCTCCATCTTCCATCCATTCCGGCATAGATCCACTTTCACTTTTCCTGTGTGATTCTTCAGTTTCGTTTGCCGACGAACTGTGTCCTCCTCAAAACGAAAAATTCTCACTAAAATTGTGGAACAAGGCGTATCATCAGCGAAAACATGAGAACGCAGACAGGATTCGAGTAATATCCAAAATAGCCTCTACAGGTTGAGAATTTATCCGGAAACTAGTGGCCTGAATCCTATGGTTTCGAATTTCATAACGAGATGGCTCAGCAGTGGGCACAGTTGCACACAAGATTACAACGAACACATGCAGAATATAGTACCCCCGGAAACTGCGCCTCACATCAAATGTGTGGGCTCTGTAAATGCACACAGTTGGGCATACTGCACACCGGTTTACGTACCCAACTTTATTAGCCTTGTGCAAAATCGGTTTGATGTACGTTTCGTCATAGGCCCGGAATCTTGAACGCGCATACGACGACCATGGTGCCGGGTAGCTCAGCGGCAAGCTAGATCAGCTCTCCACCTAGTCAGGGACTCCCTAAGCGGTAACTGGACGGTACTAAGTACACTCGCGTGCTCCTACGCACTCAGTTTTATGTGCAGTTTGTGGTGCTGTACCCGTGACTGGGGCGTCGTGTGACGTCAAGAACATGTCATCTATCCCATAGCAGGTAATGTACTAGACCTGGGCTACACCACCGCAGAGTCTGCCGTGATGACAAGGGTTTACTGTTGCCAAATGTCAACGTAAAATCACCCTGGCCACCGCTCCATGTATTTTGCTGCCCGCCATCCTTGTTTTGAGTCCAACCATGTTTACCAACACTAGCAGTTGTCCATCCGCCTTCGCCAGCTACATCACCTTCATCACTTGTAGAGCGCATACGGTTTCGTGGCCGATCTAAATACAAACTTTAATCTAAATGACAATCCTGTTCGCTGCAGACGATGGGTTTGGCGCGACGGCAATTCGTCCGTCATCGGTTGTTGAAGGCAGTAAGCGACAAGACTGTGTCATGTTGTTCATACCAGCAGTTTTCTATCAATGATTGTCGCTAACACGCTTCAACAAGAGATCTAGGGGCGGTCAATGAGGCTGGGTTCGGCAGCGTGAACCCGCCGAATATAAGTATAACAAAATTATATACAGATACACTTCGAACCACCTTTTGGATCGCGTGGGTCGTACAAACCCTGAGCCCGAGAATTGAAAGACGTGCCGGTAACGCCACCTCCACGAGCTGATGCTTGAGAACCACCACGACCTCGATTGGCTGCAATGAAAACATAAATACTTTCAACTATACAAAGATATGCCTGAGTTGTGATAGAATCTTGCACATTAAACTACTCTGTAGCGGAAAAATCGTCATCGACTACACTTTTGTAAACGGGCGACGTAACCCGGACACAACGTTTTTCAGTTTCGTTTTCCTGCATCTACCCAATCATAAGCAATTTCAGTTATCGCTCACCAGGCCTCATCAATCGTTGTGCAAAACACGAATGAATCGTATCTGGCGAGTTAAGAGGAAGAGGGTCCTCCTAAGTGTCGAGTTAAAGGTAATTACTTCCAGAGACACAATTCAAAAAAATTCCGAAGACGCATTTATTGTACTGCTTCGAGTAGGCTGAGACTAGAAAGGGGGTACATGCAAGTACGTGGTAACCCACCTAGAACAATACTCGGTCAAATGTAATGATGTTGTCCTCATTGACAAAAAGATGCCAAATTAAAGCCTCCCTCTAAGACGAGGTGTGAACAGATTTGGATTTCAGGAAAGAAGCTGTTTTGATTGTGGCAACGAAGCCAAAAGTTTTTGGTTGGCCACATGTTTGCAACTGGAGAATTTTGATCTTTTCACCAAAATTTTAGGCTGCAACAGGCAGCCCCGCCCACCTCGTAGACGCCACACCTACTTTCAAAAAATGTTCCAGACCGGCAGGCTAGAGCCTCAGCTGGCATTTCAAAGTACCTCTCGTCACTCGGAGCAATTTTGGCTGCTTTTTTGTTCCGGACGACGGAAATAGACGCCGGTCCGCTAACTGAGACTCTATTCTGCCGAATCGTCTTTCAGAAATGAGCGGAGCCTCTGCAAAAGAAGAGGACTATCTGTTGCAGCCCAAAAAAATCGGAAATTTTAGTGAGAATATCAAATTTTGCCAAAAAGCAAAGACGGGCGGCCGTGCAAAACCGGCGTGATCAAGAAGTGTGGGATATGATTGCGCATCTGTGGGTATATTCGTTTTGTGAGAAATGGGTGTGAAATGAACAAAGTAAAGGGTAAGTTTATAATAACTCCCTGAAAACGTGGGCGGAGTCACATATATGTGGATATATCAGTCCTTCCTAGTAAAAGAAGGTAATTTGCGGAAAAGAAAAAAAAAAGACAGAACGAGCTTATTGGAGAGAACTACGACGCGCTGGAGCAAGGTGGGCGGGATTTTCGGAGCGGGGGCGTGCAAGCAACTACTTAGTGTTCTCTAGGCATAGACTGACGACGATATAGAAGTGCGTGTCCGATTTAGTTTAAAAAGGTGTTCGATACAAAATTATAATGTAATTACCCTGAAATTCGATTTGAATCAGAACTAACTTACCAAATCTTTGTCCAAGGTGTAATTGCGGTTGATCTGACTGCATAGCGTGGGTGCTATCTCCTCGTGGCACACATTTCGACATGGTGTACATAATGATCGTAGACTGCCTCCCTCCTTTCATCAGGTGCACCGAGCCAGTGCTTGGATGAGTTCGCGGACGTTAAAATAACGACAACATAGATTACATCGACATTACATCATTAGTAAGGGAAACAATATGTAGAGCAAGCTGTGAATGTGAGCCATTAAAAGAGGTGTCGAACCACAAACGCACCGCATTGATTGACACACACTGGAGTCCATCCCACCAGAACGCTCCTTGTGCCCAGCAGTACTGGTATCATTTCCAGGGGAGGGCCGTAACTTGGTCGCCAGGTCGTCGATCGCAGTAATTTTCACAGTGAATGATCTTCCCGCGTTTCATGGCAAGCTCAGCAGTGTGGTCGTTTGCAGCCAGAACCTAAATTTCTGATTGGTTTAATCGAAAGCGTCTAAACTCGTCCGTTTTGCGAAATTCTGGGAGTAGTTAATGAGATGTTCGGTAAGTTGTAGGAGTGTGGTCGTACTGATGCCGTCTCCTTAATGTTTTACCCTGTTATCGGATCTCGTTAACTGTTTATATGAGTCTCCGCTTTCTTAAAGACGGTTCTGCTGACGGGAAGCACCAGTCTCTTTTCCCTCGCCCGTTATTTTTTACAAAAATTCCAGCGTCTTCAACAAAACATTAATTCGTCCAAAGCGATGTCGTCACTCTCTCACGCAGAACGTGCCAGTGTGGCCACTGGTGCGGCATATTCTGGCGGTGGAAATGATACCAGTACTGCTGGGCACAAAGGAGGTTCTGGTGGATGGACTCCAGTCAAGCAATGGGGTGCGTTGAGTTGACCCTTGTTTCCTTACTATGATGTAATGCTCGATGTAATGCTATGTTTCGTTATTTTAGGTCGGAATCATCCAAGCACTGGTGGTGCACCTGTGAAAGGAGGAGGCCAGTCTCGACCATATGTACCACCATGTCGAAATGGTGCACGAGGAGATAGCACCAGTAGCAGTCAAGATCAACCGCAATTAACACCCTTTGGACAAAGATTTGGTAAGTTAGTTCTGATTCAAATCGAATTTCAGGGTAATTACATTATAATTTTGTATCGAACACCTTTTTAAACTAAATCGGACACGCACTTTATATCGGTCAGTTCAATGGCTAGAGAACACTAGGTAGTGCTGCACGCCCCGCCCCGAAATCCCGCCCGCTTCTCAGCGCGGTCGTAGTTTTCCGAGCTCGTTCTGTCTTTTTTTTTCTTTTCCGCAAATTATCTTCTTTTACTAAGAAGGACTGATATACCACATATATGTGACTCCGCCCACGTTTTCAGGGAGTTATTATAAACTTACCCTTTTCTACTTTGTTCATTTCACACCATTTCTCACAAAACGAATATACTCACAGATGCGCAATCATAACCCCCACTTCTTTGATCACGCCCGGTTTTGCGTCTTTGGCAAAATTTTGATATTCTCACTAAAATTTTTGATTTTTTGGGCTGCAACAAATAGTCCTGCTTCTTT